GGATGGACATTTTCGGACTGAAGAAGATTCGTTGATTCTGCCCTTACAATCGCCGGAAACTTGGGTTTTTTTTTCTTGATAAAAAGATTAGAGTCTCTGTCTTTACGGAGGAAGATAAATTATACTGATATTCCGGTCCGTCCAACGATCATTTTTATATGAAGAAGTCCGTCCCACTTCTCTGTCGCTGTTAATAATTAATCGAAGACGACCAATTATCTTGGAAATATCAATTGATTTTAAATTATTCACAAGCGATCAATTGATCCCGATCACTCATAAATTACACTGTTTCCCGGCAAAACTCCTTCCAAGGAAATCCACACTAATTCTTAATTAGAAAAAGAATTATAAAGAAGCAATTCTTAATTATAATGAAATCAATAATTATTGTTTACATTCATTATAATTACTTATCATTCACAAACTTGAATACTATAATTATACAAAATTATACACATATTATCCAACAAATTATTCATTGCTATAAACACTAAGGTAAAAGTACAAAAACCAATCAGTTTTTTTTTTAATAAATATGTAAGAAATCATTGATTTTTCTAAAAACTTGGATGTTTGAAGACTGCAGATTCGTAGATTGCTGTGATTGTTTCATTGGCTGTAATTTGCGTTCAAATTAGAAAAAAAAATGAACAGATGAAAAAAATGAAATGTGAAAACACTGCTTTTTCGAGCGTTTTTTCAACTTTGAATGCGAATTACAGCCATAATGATAAACCCACAGTAATATATCAATACTTGCTAGATTCCCCAAACATTCAGCTTTTATATGCATCTTTTGGATTCATTCTATCTATTATAGTTTTCGAGAAAACACTCTTTTTTCGAGCATTATTTAACTATTGGCTTCATTCTATGTATTACAGTTTTCGAGAAAATCAATGAAATGTGAAAACACTGCTTTTTCGAGCGTTTTTTTCAACTTTGAACACGAATTACAGCCAAACGGCTAATTTCGAGAAAATCTATGAAATGTGAAAACACTGCTTTTTCGAGCGTTGTTTATTAAACAATATTGTTAACATTTGTGCAATAACAATTTCAAAAATCTGAAAAGACTGCTTTTTCGAGCGTTTTTTCAACTTTGAATGCGAATTACAGCCAAAATTATAAAACCACAGTAATATAGAAGTACACACATATTGTAGCCCAAATATTTGAGATTCCCGATAGTTGCAGCTGTGCTTTTAGTGCACTCCATGTGTTGTGCATCCGGCGAAGCTTTGTGCGGTGACGGGTGAGTATTTCCGAAAGGTTTTCCATCGAAATAATTGTAATTGTGTTTAATTGAAAGTGAGTGTTGCGAGGGATTCGAAAACCAAAACGGAACTTGCACGCCGATCTGCAAGAAACCGTGCAAATTCGGGATTTGCGTAGCACCGGATTTGTGCGAATGCAACGATGGTTACGAGAGCAGTCCGGATGGAAGATCTTGTCTTCCCGTGTGCACCGAAACTTGCGTGAACGGAAGATGCATGTCTCCGGGGAAATGCATGTGCACGATGGGATTTTATGCGGACGCGAAGAATCCTAACATCTGCTACAGGCAATGCACCAATCGGCCGATTCGAGGACAAATTAGGTGCGGCTGTAGCTCAGGTTATTCCAAGCAGGAGGATTCGAAGAGTTGTGTACCAGTTTGCAAGAAGCCGTGCGTTGAAGGATTCTGCGGATCGCCAGATACTTGCGTCTGTAAACTGGGTTATAAGAAGAATCCTAAGAACAAGTTTGAATGTGTTCCAACATGTAAAACGCCTTGTGAAAATGGGAGATGTACAGGTTTCAATACGTGCACGTGCAACGAAGGATTCGAAACGGATTCTGGTAATACTTGCAAACCAGTTTGCTCGAAGAAGTGCGAGAACGGTATGTGCGTGGCTCCTGAAAAATGCAGTTGTAACGAAGGATTTTCACCGAATGATGATTCTACATGCGTTGCCAATTGCGATAAACCGTGCGTGAATGGGATTTGCGTAGAAAACAATTTGTGCAAATGCAACGAGGGTTTCTCCAAAAACGCAGATAATCCGTACGTTTGTGAAGCAATTTGCGAGACACCTTGTATTAATGGAAATTGTACAGCACCAAACACTTGCGAATGTATTGAAAATTATACTATGAATGATAACAATACTTGCGAAGCAATTTGCTCAAAAGCTTGCATAAATGGAGATTGCACTAAACCTGATGTTTGTACCTGTAATTCTGGATTTATACCTGATGAGAAAGATTCATTTAAATGCGTTGCAAAGTGTTCGAAAAAGTGTAAAAACGGTTTTTGCTCAGATCCTGAAACGTGCTCTTGTAATGAAGGTTTTAAACTAAATCCTGCAAATAAATTCGAATGTGTCCCAGTTTGCTCAAAGAAATGCATGAATGGAAAATGCGTTTCTCCTGAAAAATGTGAATGTAAACAAAGTTACTCTTCAGATCCAGAAGATGAATTTAATTGTAAACCGAATTGTTCGAATCCTTGCATCAATGGATTGTGCATAAAACCAAACATTTGCAAATGTATGGAAGGATTCAAGAAGTCTTCTGATAATCCGTACGTTTGTGAAGCAATCTGTGAAATGTCTTGTATTAATGGAAATTGTACAGCACCAAATACTTGTGAATGTTTGGAAAAT